GATCTTATGTTGCTATTCTGATTTGAGAGAAGCTTGAAGTTGAAAATTATTTGCTTTACCCTTTTTACTATTTGTTTCCTGTATTTGAAGTGATCACATTTTTAAATTGTGTTTGCAGGAGGAACTTCCTAGACCTGAAACTGTAACAGTAATACAAGATGAATTTGCCGAAGATACTGATCCCTTTGTATCACATGTAAGAAAAAGTAAATTTTGATTAATGTTTAAAAGGTTCAAATGATTCATGGCAGTAATAGAAAATTGTTACGTAGTGGAACTCTAAAATACATTACTGTAATGAGTACTAAATTTTCTATAAATTCATACCCCATCATTTCTAATTTCTTTTGAGTGTTAATGTTTGGAAATACTTTTGAAATTTATAAAAATGTCATCAACCCTCGAGCGGTCGCGTTGGTTGACAGAGTAACCACTTGCCTTTTCCTGTTCCAATAATCCAATCACTTGTTCTTGCGCAACTAAAACTTTAAGTATCTTTTAACAGTATTATTAACATTCTCCAGTTGTCTTTACAAGAGCGTAGAAACATTTTATTTGTAGTTAAGTTGAATAATTTTATGTTTGGAATAAGTTCTGTGAAATGTTTAGTTGATTGGAAAACACATACACACACATATAATAATGTTTATAAAGACTAATCAATTGACATCGAAACATTTTTTTGGCTGAAATGTAGTATATGGTACAACCTAAGGAAGTCATTTAAACCGGCACTTCGTGCCGTTCCGGTGTTAACTAGGCAGTTACAATTCTGGAGGCTTTCTTGAAAAGTGCTTTCTTATAAACGTAAATTGGTAATTATGCTTTGGATAGACTCAAGGATGTTTATAGTAAAGGCCTTAGCCTCGCCGTGACTTGGATCCGCGAATCGAGAAAACTTGCCTTTGAAAGTAAATTGGCATTACAATGTGGCAGGGACAAAGCATATAAAGGGCGAACCATGAAAATCTCCTATTCGTAAGTTTTACTTGTTTGTGTTAGAGCATGTACAGTAATTAGGGCTTAAGGCCCGCCGCCACGCTTTTCTAAGGGTGTACCGTATACTAAACATTCCCCATTTTTTCTGCCGTTTATATGAGAAAATCACCAAAACCAGGAGGGATCTCTTAACAAAAGAGAGAGAGAGAGAGAGAGAGAGAGAATGAGCAGAGGAAACTGCAGAAGATAATACTGTTACCGCCATTAGACCCTGCAAGTGCCATGGTTTTGTTTGCAAAAAGCATTCTTCCATTATTTGCCAAACGTGTTTGCGTAGTTAATATATCAGAGGGAGATGAGTGATTTGTTTCAAGGATATTCTCAAGTTGAAAAGCAGGTTTTTATTCCATTCTACAATGCTTGCAATGTTCTGCCCATATTTTTTAAATAATAAATAGAAAAATACGTAAATGATGTGTGTAATATCTTGTAGAAACTGCAAATTTAGTGAATTAAAGCCTTTTAAATAATTATTTAAGAAATTTATATGTGGTAGTCGATACTTGGAGTTATTCACACAACCGGCTATGTTTCGCCAAGAGACTGCTGCAGGGTTAAAATTTTAAAAATTGTTTCAAAATAATGAAATTTCACTTTGTTTGTACCTAGGAAAGCTTGAAGGGGTGGGGGTGGGGGTTAAGATTGTTTGATTCCAGAGGGAGGATGATGTACAGTGAGTTGTAAGGAGAGTTGAAACAAGCCAAATTTTGGGAACATTTTTTTTTAAACAGCACATAGTGTGTGTACGTGTTTAAGTGTGTCTACTGTGTTTTAATTTGATCCATGGCCCTGGATTCTCACCACTTTTGTTTGCGAAATTGCGTTACAATTTTCATGGTTTCATTCTGTTGTCTTGTTAAATAAATTTGTTTGCTTTTTTTCTTCTTTTTTTTAAAAAAAGGTTGTTATTTAATTTGTTGAATTATTTCTAATCTACATAGGTGTGATAATGAACTTAATAATTCTTCGAAATGGTCCACTACGACTTTTTAAAACAACTTCTAGGGGAGCTTCAAATTTATATTAGATTATCTGCATATCTCTGAGAAATCTAGTTGCAACTAAATTGAAGGCAACAAAAGTAGATTTATTATTTAAAACACCAATTAAATTAGTACTTAAAATCAGCATTATTGTATTGTTATTAAATGCAGGACTATCAATGGCATAGTTGTACAATTTCGTGTTTTTGCAAGTTTTAAAATATAAATTTTAACTTGTAAAAAATGATCAGTGATTACAGTTGTGATTATCTTCATCAAACTCAGCACAAACTCAGCACAGAAGGAAGTATAAATCAGCTGTAACTTAAAAAATAATTAGGCATTATATTTGTAGAAATACACAAAACATCTTTTTTTGAATTTGAATTTTTTTATCAACCATTTAAATGTTGTGAATAGTTTGTCTAAAGAGATATCCCACTAATGGTTTGGTTATGATTGATAGTAAGCTAATTATAAAACTATGAGTTTACAAATTTTTGACATTTTTCCAGAACTCAGATCCACTAAGTGTTGATCCATTGTCTTTGGAGCGTAGTATTGAACCTCCTCGTCAGCCTATTAAGGAAGAGCAGGGAGATATTTCGGAGGTAATATATTAAGAAGGTCTTAATTTTGAAATATTTGAATTCTGGTTGTAAATTTTATCATTTGTTCAATGAGGATGTCATATTTGTTTTATAAATAGTAAAATTGTTTATAGGTATGTGTCAAGATTGAACTTTCTGATACTGAGGATGAGATTTCCAATGTTTCAATTTGTCACATGCCTGAAGATGATGGCTATCGCAGTGGCAATGATGAGGATGTTTTACACAAAAATCAGCCAAAGAGCAATCGCATAAATAATGCTCAGACAAATATTAATGAATCAGTTGCAAATAAATTAAATGAAAAATTAGGTGAGGTAGAAAATGCCAATGTTAAGAAAGGAGCTTCAGCTCAAGAAGGGAACTCAAAGACGAGAAGATCACAAGGTAATGGAGTTTCAGAAATACAAGCTAATGTTTGCTCTAACATTGACCTATGTTACCCAGAAGTTGGGAGTGGAATTTTGGACCGATCCTGTGGTTCAGAAGTGGAAGTTTCTCAGAATCAGCAAAAAAGAACAACAAAAGAAAATAATGTTAATGGACCAAAGGAAACTACTTGCCTGGAGAGAGATAACTCAAATACTTTGGGTAGTCCATTTGCAGAAACCAGACAAGCTCTTGCTGGGAATTCCTTCAAAACCTCTGTTAATTTTTCCAAACATAAAGAACCGAAGGAAAGAATTGAAGAAACTGAAAAATTGTTGCCTCTTTGCAACATTGAAAGAAAATTAAAAGTTGTGCTTACTAGATGTAAAGAAGCAGAAATGCTTGCGTCTTCCATGAAATTAGCTGGACAGCGTTTGAGTGAGAGGAAACATAATAATGATGTACCAGCCATTAATCTTAGTCCAACTAGAGGGAATGAAATTAATTCTGTGAAAGGCTCCAGAGTACATGAGATGCCAGAGAAGAAAATCTCAATATTGAAAATTGGGAGGAATAGAGATGCTAATGGCTGGAGGGTAATGTCGGCTGGGGAAAAAGTTTCCAGTAAACTTCGAACGAAAAGTGCAAAAGGTATGCTAAAAACCTCAAATGTAAAAACTTGGATTAAGTGCAATGTTCTTTTAATAAATCTAAAGCTAAAATTATTGCAGTTCAGAAAACAGTAGCAAGTCAAGATCTTGAAAATGCATTGGTGCCTGGAGATGAATCTGCATCTTCAGTTAGCAGAGATAAGACAATAAGCGGTAAAGAAGTGCAAGATTTCTCGGAAAGAAGAGATGAGGTAAGAATTTCTTTTTTAGTGTTGAAGGTGAAGTAATTGTATATTGTGTGTGTGTTGTTCAGTCAATCTTATCAATAAACACTTTGAATTTAGTTGTTTTCTTTAATAGAAAATATTCTAAAGCAGAATATCAGACAAAAGTTTTTGACATGAAACTTGGAAAATTCTCTTGCTGGATATTTCTAGAGTCAAATTTCATTATCACTAAAAAATTTTGGAGGAAGGAAGAAGAAAGGAGTGGGAGAGATGAGTGTGTTTGTATTGATACATATGCATACAGACACATGCACACACAAACACACACGCTAGTTTGGGTTTATTTCAGTTGAGATGTTGCCATGTTGGGACGATAGCAGGAGAGCGGAAAAACCTCTCAAGTTGACATGTAAGTTGCCACTGTAACTTGTGTTCCAGCTGGGGAGCACCACCATCTTTCACGCGAAAGATGTACATTTACGGCATTAATGACTGGAGCAGTAGACATGCTTGGAATAGTAAATATACATATAGACCTCCTTATAGTTTTTGTAGGTGCAGATGATTCACTATTGACCTCTGGACGATTTTCTTCCTTGGTCTTCAAAATTCAGAATTCTTCCATTCTTGATCCAAACATATTTGAAGTTAATGTCTTTTCCTTCTCAGAAGAGATTTTTTAGATCTGGGGTCAATGATTCATTTAAGAACAGGCAGGTAGAATTCTGTTTTTTTTGGGGGGGGGTATTTTCTGCCATTTTCCTTTGGATATGCACACGTTGCACTGAGTTTCATTTTTGAAGTACCAAAAGATTGAATGCATGAGGGCAATTTTCTTGCTCACAAACTTCCAATTTACTAGCCCCTATTATTTATTTTGTGAGAAGCAATTTCATTGAAATGTTTGCTTCTAACTCCAATTCCAATTCGTAAGTAACTTTTGGGCATCTGAGTCCTTGGTTTTGATGTTTTCTGATACATCTTTGTTTGTAGGCTTTTTTACAGCCATGGCATTTTACTTCTTTGGCAATATGTCCATTGCACTTCATATTTAAATAATCATAAGATAAACACTTTATCTCTTCATTGTAACTTAACACCTCTTACACTCTATGCCACAGTATCCAAACTGCAGAAGATGCTATTCACGTCCAGCCACTGTGTATCAATATCGTTATTAATGGGATGTTATTACATCAGATAAAACTAATGGTGGTACAGAATGACACAAATTTCTCTTATTCATTTTCATTATTCTATATTCTTTGGTCTGGGCTAGCTATTGGGACTTGCAACATACTCTTGCCTGCTGCCATTTATCTCCAACCAAAGTCATATTTTTGACATTTCTCAAACTTAAAGAATATTAACACTAGAACGCCCAGAGGGATTATTTAGACACCCCGGTGATCTTTATGACCTTGTAATTTCTTTGTTTTCAAAGGTAGGCTTTTGTAATTTTGTGACTTTTTATCATTTTCATTTATTTACAGTATCTTCAAAATTGAAACGTGTAAAACGTGAACAAATTTGAGAAAATTTTGAAAATGTTCAAAGGGCTTCATGTAAAGAACACCTAAATTTTAAAAAAATATTTTCAAAATCACAGCGCCTCGAGTGGAGCCATTTTGACCAAGGAATATCCATTTTGGAAAAACTCCTACGTATGATTTAGGTAGTAGTGGTGTTTACAGACGGACAGATATTTTGAAAAAAAGAAGAAGAAAAAAAAACTTCTTTAGTATCAGGAAATCCAAAATGTGTATTTCCTCTGTATGTAGGTACATATACGAGAAAGTAAAAATACTGTAACGTTTCTCGATGGTGAATTAAAACTCGCAGGTAATACTTACCCCCACCCCCCAAAAAACGTTTATTTTGCTAACAATACTGCACTAAAAATACTAGATCAATTTACAGGTATATTACACAATAAGTCCTTGCGTTCTTCACTTGATTATTTTTCTTACACACGACTCCGTTCCCTTGATTATTTATTTACACAGTTCACTTCTTCTGATTATTTATTTACATTGTTCTCTGCAATCTACCACTTCGCACAGTCCTCATGCCGTGTCCACTGCGCAGACCACAACATTCACGGCGCAGCCAGGTCCACCTGCCACTGTCTGATTTACCGCAGCACACTGCACAGCTCAGGCATTCCACTGCAGCCTTCAGACTGCTGACCAGCTGTTCACCCACTGCACCACTGCTTCACCGCGATGCACACTTCACGGCTCAGCTTCCACTTCAGACACACTGACGGACTGACTTCTTATTCACTGATTACATACACTAACCGATTCGCGGCTGCTTACTTCCGACTACTGACTGACGGCCGCCGGCAGCGGCGAATTTATACCCGGCCGGCGTCCGCCTCGAGCCATCGGGAACGTGCTCAAAATTTCTACGCGACTCGCGAATAGCCCGGAACCGTCCAGTTCGGGGGGAAGAGGGGGCGCCGGCAGATGACGCTATCCACGCAGCGAATCCCGGCAGATAATGCAATATCCGTTACAATACAAAAAGAAATTGTGAAGTACAATGTTATAAGTAAATAAAAAAAAGTCATAAATAATAATCTGAAATGGGATTTAAACTTTCTCATAATACTGTTTTACTGCCTGCTTCAAGTGTACTTCTCAATTGGTTCTCAGTAATCAGAAAAATATCAACCTCTGAGATAAGACTATACTCTTTTGAACATGGTTAGAGGTTCCTCTCCCACACTAGTTGTACAGTGCTTGACAGCATGTAGAGAATGGTCCCTTGAGTGAAATCTAGGTAATGTCAGAAATGCAGAGCAGCAGAATGAGGCAATTATCTCAGTATGGATGAGTTTGTATGGGAACAAGCAATCAAACGTCACCCTCCTATCACCTGAAGAAGCCATGTTCGTCCCTTGAAGTATGTCATGATTATAGATGGTTTCAGGGTGCCAAGCCTATGAGCTATAGTTTTCAAGAATTTTTGCCTTTTTTAGTTTTCAAGAGCCTTTCAAGTATCAATCTCTGATTATCAAGCAGGTATTCCAAACTATGCTGTTATATTTCAGAATCTGTCTAATGTCTTACAAAGAAGCGAGATGTTACCAGAAGATCTTGTGTTTCTCAAAATGAAGCCCCATCTTCTCATCTGCTTTGATAGAAGTTTCAGTAGAGTGGATACTGAAAATAGCCTTAGAATCAAAAGGGTTGTCTGTGCCCAAGTCAATGACATGACACACTTTCTCAAGAATCACACCCACCTAATTAAACTGGTTGACAGATCTCTCCTGTGAATACATCATAACAGAGCATTTAGTTGTATTCAAAAGCGTGTTGTTATTATAACACCAATTGTTTAATTTGTCCAGGTTACTCTGCAAAAAACAAACATCCTCATTGTTGTACACTTCCTTGAAATTTTAGCATCATTGTGCAAAGTAGAATCTTGCAGCACTCCAAAGCCTGTGGTAAGTTGTTAATAAAGATGCTGAAGAGAACACTAAGATGAGACCCCCTTGAAACCACAGATGATATTTTAAACAGTGAAGATGGCCAATAATCTGAATGTACTGATCCATGACATCCGTGTCTTAGGTAGCTCTCAAGACACTGAAACAGAACCACCAAAACCAATTGAAATTAACTTTTCTCAGAAGTAAATCATGGTTCATGTGACCGAAGTGCTTGGAGAAGCCTGTATAGATGACATCAAGTTGTCTACGTGCTTCTAAAACAACAATCATGTGCGTTTTGACAACTATGAGGTTAGTTAGCTCTTTGATAGCTTTTTAATTGGTATAGTTGTAGTTTGCGGTATTATGCCTTGTGCCTCAACATTTAATGATGGGTTAGGGAGACAATGTCATCAAAGGAACCATTTCCTTGAATTTTTGCACTCGTAATAGAGCTTGGATGAAGATTTTCTTCACTGCAGAAATTAACTTACCTACATCAAGATGATTTCCTCGATTTTCTCCCACAACTCTAGAGCATGTACAATGCGTGTTACATTTATCATTTTAGGGTAGAGTAGCTGCAAAACTTGCCAGCTTTCATCATGTAAGGGGCTGTATCAATGACTAAAAGTAGAACATTTTGTCTCTTCACTCCTTCAGGCCACAAAATATTTATTGCTAATGCAAGGTAACCAGTTGTTGAGTGGTTAGTACTGTCCATTGTTGGAATGTGGAAATGTGGAATTTATTCATTGAATGTCCATTGTGGAAATGAGAAATTTATCTCTTGCTCGGTTTTCCCTTATAACACCAACCACGTTTGAATTAGATGTGAAAAATCTCTTTGAGATGACTGAAAGCAAGAATGCGAAATGAAATATTTTAAAGCGAATATCAACAGAAATTTCTCAATTATAAATGCTTTTCATACAGTTACATCATGGCACAACAATGAGACGTAACTCACCGAAATTCAGCCGCCAAGTCGCGACGCAGAACACCTTCGTTGCGTTCCAGTCTCATATTCCCTGAAGGCGAGCAACTTCTATCTCATATTGTGACGATTTACCTCAAGGATTGAGAGATTAAATTGATATTTGCAGAAATATTAAATACGCCAAAGACCACAATGGGGTAAAACCCATAAACAAACATGTCGCGTACAATGAATGTAAACAAGAAGGAATACAGAATAATCAGTAGTGGGGAGTGGAATAGTAATGTAAAAACCAAGGAAACATGGGTAATTTTCGTGTAAAGTGTCAAACGTGAGAAAATTAATGATAGCTAAGTAGTTCAAAGAATAAAGAGTTACGATGTAAATGCGCGGGTAACCAATGAGAGCGGAGATCAAATTCGAGACACCGATCAAGATGCGCGTTTTGTTCCAGGGTTTTAAGACACGGTATAAATTTTTTTTAAATTAACTTTTCAAAAAAGAATCTTATTTCGTTTGAGATTGGCACGGAAAATAGCAAAAAATTATTTTCTGATAGTATAAAGGATTTTTTTTCAATCAGATAAAATAGTGTTAAATTGACGAAAATTAAAAAAAAAGGTTTTGGCTGTAGGGGTGTGT